ATATGAATTGGTTGTTAACAGTGAATAGGAATCCATTATATATGAAATTGAATCATTTTTAAACAACAGTCAAGGAAAAGCATGTGTATTATATCTGAGTTCTTCTATTTCAGTTTGTCAGAAAAGTGTGTATAGATCTGTCCTACTTATTAAACAGGGAAAGCAGAATATCTTTTATAAACCAACAGGGAGATTGCAGTAACATTAAAAATAAATTACAATGTATTATTTGAAAATATTTTGGGATATTATTTTATTATAAATGCATTTGTTCACTTTTGTGTTTGTGCATATATTTATGTTTGTATGCATATATGTGTATGCACATGCATTAATATATAGGTGTGCATGCATGGGTGTTCATGTGCATGTGGAGGCCATAGGTCATTGGGTGTCCTGCACAATCGCTAGTCACCTTAATTTTTAAAAATTCTCTATGCCTTATTTTTATTTTATGGGTATTCATGTATTGTGTGCATGTATGCAACTGTACCCATGTCATGCAATGCCCATGGAGGGTAGAAGAGGGTGTTGAATTCCTTGGAACTGGAGTTATAGATGGTTGTTAACTGCCGTGTAGGTGCTGGGATTCAAACCCAGGTCTTCTGCAAAAGCAGCCAGTGCTCTTAACCACTGAGTCATCTCTCCAGTGCCTCTCCACCTTTATTTTTGAGACAGTCTCTCACAGAACCTGGAGTTCACCCTGCTGTCTAGGATGGATGGCTGGTGAGCTCTAGTATTATTTGGGTATGTCACTGCACCTGATGGTTTCCTTGGGTGCTGTGGATCCAAACTAATTTACTCCTGCTTGGGTAGCAAGCATTTACCAGTTGAACTATCTCCTCAGGTCCTGTTTACATATTTGAGACAGGGTCTCACTATGCTAATCCTGAACTTTCAATCATTCTGCTTTAGCCTCTTGAGTGCTGGGATTACAGGCATGCACCATTACACATAACAACTAATTAAAAACTGTAAAATGGGACTGGAGAGATGGCTCAGTGGTTAAAAGCACAGGCTGCTCTTGCAGAGGACCTGGGTTCGATTCCCAGCACCTACATGGTGGCTACAAACTGTCCTTAACTCCAGTTCCAGGGAAATCTGAAGTCCTCTTCTGACCTCCGTGTCATTGCAAGACATGGGTGCACTCACATTCATGCAATACACTCATACACATAAAATAAAAAAAGTATAAAATATCCATATATGTCTAAGACTTGACATGTGTTCCTTGATGGAAAATTTCCAAATTCCTGAATGTTTTCATGTCATGGCCACTAATTTCTTTGAAATAACTTGGGTATTTTTTTTTCCTTCAAGTTCTATGCTTGCTGTCCACCCATCACCTGAAGTTATAGAACATGGGAATCATTCTTTTTCTCCTATTCTTTAAAGTTTACAAAGAAAGAAGTCAGATAAAGAAATTAGAAAATTCACAGAAGAAGAAGGGTTTGAAGAGAAGGAGGAGGAAGAAGAAGAGGAGGAGGAGGAGGAGGAAGAAGAGGAGGAGGAGGAAGAGGAGAAGGAAGAAGAGGAGGAGGAAAAAGAGGAGGACGAGAAGGAGGAGGAGGAAGAAGAAGAAGAAGAAGAAGAAGAAGAAGAAGGAGATCAGGAGGAGGAGAAAGAGGAGGAGGAGGAGAAGGAGGAGTAGGAAAGGGGAGGAGCAGGAAGAGGAAAAGGAGGAGGAAGAGAAGGAGGAGGAGGAGGATGGTGTATGCAGTAGAGAGATTTGATAAGCAGCAATATAGACAGCTTGAGCTGGAAGATGACATATCCTTGTTTAAAAATTCCCCTCTGCTGTTTTTGCATCTTGGGTTTCAGACTTTCCCTCTGTGCTCCCTTTCCTGTTTCTCCTTTTCCTACCCCTTTCCTCCTTTCTGTTTCCTTCCTCTCAAGAGGGAAATGTTTCATTCCTCATACTTTCTTTTTCACACATTCTTATTTCACGTCTTTCTGGCTGCTACTAGAAATCAGCTCCAGGCCTCCCTATGTGTCTAAGGACATAGTAGAAGTTTTGAAATTTATGTTAGAGAGAATTATTCAATTATCCTACCTTATTTGCATGTTTTACAAATGAAGATTGAACCAACTGTGAATCAAAAACATTTTTTAAAAGTGCGTCTGTATAGACTATGCCTGACCTGTTTTCCTTGGCTTTATTCCTTATATACTGCAGTATAATTTTATGCATTTTTGCCTTGCATTAGGAATTACAAGTAATCTAGACATGTTTTAAAAACATATGTGAATGTTATGTAACTACTACCCTGTGTTCTATGACAGGCTTGAACATCTCTCATACCGGTATCTATTGCTGATCTGGAAAAACTTTCCCAGGGATGCTGATGATGACTGTTTGCCCTTTAAGTCTTCATTTGATGGGCAACAGAGAGGAATTCGTTAGGTTTTCTTCTAGTTACAAATCCCATGAAAGAGTTATTTTTGACACTACAATACCATAAAATTCTCAGAGTCAGTCTATACTTATATTTTTAATATCAGGACTCTAGAGAGCAGTGGTTTCTAAAAGAGAATCCCTAGGCTAGTTTGGCTGAATTATGGTTTCTGCAGCAATTTTTGAAAGGACTGATTCTTGATGTCCCCATGTCAAGAGATTCCAACCCAGCAACTCAAGGGTGGGACTGAGGAATCTGTACTTAAAAAGATGAGTGAGCATGGGAATATGGGAAGAACTGCTTTGTGTCTCCTAAACTTCATTTTCAGCCATAAAGTTCAGTGAAGCAAAGTCAATGGAACACAGGGTAACCATCAGTCTTGAAAGTAGTTATTTCATTGAAATGTAGTCATTTCGATGTCATTTGCCTCTTTTGTTTCCTTAGCAAACATCATGGCTTTTCTAGGACTGCTCTGACCTTTTTTTATGTCCTGAGGGGAAAAAAAATCCTCTGTTCTGAACTAACCAGAGTAGCTGGTAAACAGTTAAGTATCTATGAAGAAATAACTGAATATTTCAATTGTCGAAGTCTTTCTTGAATATTTATTTACAAATGTTTATTTTGTGGATAGAGTTGAAGGTAGCATGATGAAATTCTGGCCTCACCACTGCTGTCCTACTACTCAAGAAACAAAGGGCACAGAGATAGGAGGAGATGGTTCCATATCTGCATGATCTGTGGCTTAGATCATGCTTCCAGGGTAGGCTGAGATGGACAGTTTATCCTCTGGCACCCTGAAGGTGCTCTGTGAGAACTGACCTTGTTTTCCTCTTTATGCTTCCAAACCTGCAGTATCCTTGAAAGAAGGTTTGAGGAAAATATGGCTCAGTTCCCTATGATGGGAACCTGATTGTAGACATCAAGTGTGACTTGGATACAGATTGTCTCTAGAGAAAAAAAAAACAAAAACAAAAAAAAACAGGCAATCGTAGGTGTGAGTGTGGCAATGAAGTCACAAAAAAGGCATAAAAAAATCCTTATTTTCCAAAAGGCATTTTTTTTTCCAAATAAATGTATTGCTATAAGTTGATCTATTGTTTTGAAGTCTATACCCTACATTTTGAATTCCAATGTGTGTAGACCATAGAAGTAATGCAAGCTATGTTGAGAATGAGTCGATTCTGAGGTTGGGAGAAAAGAGACTTAGGTTTGGAAAATGGGCATTTGAGACATAAGAAAAATGAGAAAATTGATGTCTGAGGAGGTACAGAATTCAGCATCCTGACAGACTCTGGGGATCAGAACACCAAGCAATAGCATTTAAAGGAACCAAGTGTTACAAGTGACTGAAAACAGAGGAAAAATGTTCAATGATCACCAGAAGAAAATCAAATAAAGCTAACTTGCTTTATCAGAGTGGAGATGCCTAGATGTGAAATAATCATTTAAATTTCATTCACTAAATTTAGATGACATATACATTAATGTTAGAAAATTAGTATTTGCTAGATTTAAAGATTATTTATTATTAATAACTGAGGTCCATGAGAAAGTTGAAGAACTTTCTCCTTTCCTCAAATGACGGATGTGTACGTTTTGGGAGGAGGTGAAAGTGATGGCTGACCTCTTGGTAGGCCTGTCATGTTCTTTCTGCAGCTTTTACATGCTTCGAGCTCTTGCCATTCACAAAGTTGTGTGTGTGTATGTGTGTGTGTGTGTGTGTGTGTGTGTGCCTGTGTGTGTTTTCCTACAAAAGGAGAGAACATTGAGATTGTGGCCTGTGAAACTGAAGACTTTTCGGAAGCATGTTCTATGTTCTCTTCCTGCCTAACAACATCACAAATTCCAGTTTCCTCAGTTTCAAAATCAGAAATTTACATTAAAGCTGGTGTCTAAGTTGGTTTTATATTAAAAACTCTTTGCTTCTATCTCATATTAAATGATAAATACCCACCTAAAGGTTGGCAACTTATCAGCTCTACATATGCTTAAACCTGAACACAATTATACTCACTGACATTCATTTCGAGTTACATTTTTGAATAGAAAGTTAAAATAGAAAATTGAGTTCAAAGACAAAATACATTGAATGATATTTTTAAAGATACCCAGAGTCACTGAAGCAAACATTATCATATAATAGTGATACAATTACTTCCAGATCCTGCACATTCAAAACAAGAACAGATATGAGTTTGGTAGAGACCTTACTTTGGGCCACTAATTAAATGAAGCTCTTGGAGCTGAAGTGGATGAAAAGAATGAAACTTTCCTTAAAAGATCATAACATTACCAAAATGTTATGTAATTACTAGAAAGTAAAATGAAATGGGACTCAATAAGGTAAAAATAAAGACAATGGTCCTATGTTATTTCTCTTATTTAGTCTGAATCTTTTTATTGTGAGTAGTTTCCGCTCTTTCCAAATAAAACATTCAATATCAAGTATAAAATCCTGACTCTGTAAGGATAGGAGAAAAGTAACCAGGGGTAAATAATCAAATAGTTGTGTCTTGTTACCTGTGACTCAAAGAATGGAAATTGCCATGTTAATCTTTTTTGATATCTAGCAATGTCAACTGATGGTTTTCCTTTGTCTTGCAGGTTTGGAGAGAATTGCACGGGATTCATCTTATGAACAAGAGGGAAAGGTCCAGTTTGTCATTGATGCTGTATATTCCATGGCTTATGCCCTGCACAACATGCACAAAGAACTCTGCCCTGGATACATTGGCCTTTGCCCAAGAATGGGTACCATTGATGGGAAAGAACTACTGGGTTACATCAGGGCTGTGAATTTTAATGGTAAGTTAGAAATTCTTTTTTCACTCTACTTTAAGTGACAGAGGCTTCACACCCTCTATCTAAAAGAAGATATTCAGGCAAAGTGGAAATCAAAGGATGAGAGGCACTACTTTTTACTCAGAAGTGTGAAGTTTTCCACCTGCTTTTCAGTATCAAACATATTTTTGTACTTTCATTAATCTGCTCCTGAAAGAAGCAAAAGTTAAAAATAAGCTTCTATCAATCAAAATAATCTACTCAAATATTGCTATTTCAGAAGCATTTTAGAAGGCTCATTCAGAACCACTGACAACAGATTAGATTTATTTAAAAATGCTTTGTGCCATTATTAGGGAAGATCTTGTAGACATTCATTTGGAAACTGATGTTAAATTTTTTAAATACTAAATTGATGAGGAAAATGGATGGAGTTAATGTATAAAAACACTTTAAGGGTGTTGTGTTTTTGTGCCTTTTTCCTTCTGTTTTCTTCAGTGATTTAACAAAGAACTGAATGTGATACAGTATAATGTGACATTCTTACTATAGAAGCAGAAATACTGCTTTTTGTGACTGTGACAAGAACCCTGTACAGAACATGCTGTGTTTGTGGTATTTGGCTGGAGAGTAGCTGAGCAGCCTGTTTGAAGTGATGGAATTATTGAATGCTGCTGTCCTTTCATGCAGGTTGTAATGGCTGCTGCCCATGACTGTGACCATTATTTTCAAATGAAATGATAGACTGCTCTGAGCTGTCTAATTTTTTGGCTTGGCTGTAATCCACACAATGGACATGCCTCTGAGCCATGCACAGTGCCATACTGCCTATCACAATACACTCTGGTGACCTCAGCTTCCAGCCTTTCTCAAAGCAGCCAAGGTCATCTTCAATGTAGAATTCAAGTGGAAACTTCTTTTGCTTTGTGCGGGCAACATAAGGAAGAATTTGGTTTGCGTTCAATACAGAGTATCCTGTTCTCTAGCAGAATTCTTGAGAATCATTTCATAGCATTAATTCTTTTGTTAATATAAACACTAAGGGGAGTTTGAAAATAATCTTTATGCAGTCATAAAATTGAACAAAAGCTGATTGTTGCAATGTAAAGTTATTTACTCTAATGTGAGGTTGGGGAACACTTCATTTATTCAACAGTGTTAGGAAGTGGGCAGAAGAATGCAAATGAGCAGATTTGCTCAAAAGCTAAAGCTCACCTTCCAAGAGGGAAATATTTTAAAGAAACACTCAATGAAAGCAATTTAAAGGTGAATTACTAATTTCACTTTTTATCTTAACCATACATCAAAACCTAACCCTTCCTGATGGCTTCAATTATTATACTAACTTCCAATATAATGATGCCATTATGGACTATTAGAGAATGCCTTAATGTCTAATGGCTATTAAGACAATTTGCCTCTGGGCTCCAATGATCCCCGAGCTCTGTCCACTTTTTGCAGGTTTACTCACTTCTATATATTGCTCTTTCTTATGCTTGCTCTTCTGACTGATTTCTTCCAAATATTCTTTTTTTTTAAACTCACTATGGACAGAGAAGTAAACATAATTGTAATTTAGCCAAGGAGTATTTATTAGGCATAGACTGTTTAGCCTTATGACAGTGCTAAAGATGTATTACCTGTGAAACAGAGCACTCAGAGCATTTTGAATCTATCAGAAACATATGTTAAGCAAATAAACACACCAAACTAATGATATACAATACAATGGATACTAAAATGGGGAGATGCCCTATAATTAGAGTTTATATAGGAGAACTTCAGTCTAGAGACAAGGGACAGGTAAAATCTGAAGAGGCTAGGGGCTTAAGACATGGTGAAGTAATAAACAGAGCTGTATAGACTAGGTGAAGTCTTGTAGGCAGTCAAAAGGTTTGTTTATTTAGAATGCAAGAGGAACCTATTGAACCCCAATAGGACAGTGTCTGATACAATGTTCAGAGAGGGTCACAGGAAATAAATGAATTTTAGTGTGTAAACATGAAAGAAATTTCTCTAAGCTCCTTGGCAATGTATTTTGTGAGGATTTAGACTTGTTTGTTGATGATATAAGGTGAGAGACATATATATGCAAGTAGTCATGGTTAAATAATTCTCTTCATTTTCCATAATTTTCAGGATATACTTTTAAAATTTTCAGTATTGGATTGCCTATTAATCTTCTTGCACTATCAATAGCTTACCTGCTCTTGATTTCTAAATGGCATATAGGACTATTCAAATATAAGTGCAACACCGGAGTATTAAGGGAAGAAGACAGATTTAAAATCAAAATGAAGGACTGGGTTATGCACTTTGCATATAGTCACATCTTACACAGATCTGCAGTGGAAACTGTGAGATAGGAACAATTATACATATCTTTAAGAGAGAATAAATACTCTTGGACATTATTCCTTAAAGAAAGGTACCCTATGGGTCTCTGGCAGCAGCCAAATGAGAATCCTATTTAATAAGATTCTTAACAAGAGCTTAAGCCATTTTATCTGTTTTGTATACCTACAGTTAAAGCTAAGAAAGACAATTGTGTATTTCATGAAAGGTGTTTTCAAGGATGGGGATAATCTTTCTTTTGCTCTCTCATAATATGGGGATGTTCCATACTTTGTGAAAAATAAATGGAGAAAGTTTGCATTATCCTCTGTTTCTACAACTTTGTCTTCTAAATCATTATACTCACAAACCATATGTTTCAGTCATTAAAATAAGAAGTTCTAGGTTGAGAGATTGGTGTAAGGGAGACCAGTCTACTTCCCTTAATTCTGCTTGCTGACCTTAGAAGTTCTTTAAAGGGTTTCGGTGGCTGTATGGAGCACATTTCCTATCCACACACTCAGTCTCATTACTGTTTGCAGAGATTTCACAAGCTATAAGTAGATGTTTGGAATTTGTGTTCTCTATTTGGAACTTAGTAATCTGCTGTTTTGGGTTCTTAATTGAAGTTTCCTTGAGTGGGTTGTATTGGTGATGTTTGATACTCTCGCTTAATGGGAAAGACAGGCCAAGACTGGAGGTGTGATAGGTGCCATGGGCCACACCAAGTATTCTTCAGGACAGTTTTTAATCTAAAGCCAAGATGTACTCAGTCAGCACCAGAGCTGCTTATACTACTTGGTAACATATTAAAATATGTTCTGGGAATATAGAAATACTGTTCAAGATTGTTTTTAGAAAATGAGCTTTACAGGACAACTGCTAATTCTGAACAGTACGGCCTTACAGATTTACTATCAGGATCAGTGAGCTACAAAATGTTCTTTGAAGTAATTACAAAAATGACCCTCCTAAATTTTCCCATTGAATTAAAGTGTTCAGTAGTGACCATTCAAATATTGGATAAGGGCTTCATTAAAGAGAAATTTGTTTGTACAAAACTCTGCCAAACTCTTTCTTACATTGATAACAGAAAATACTTTGAGGTTTTTTGTTTTGTTTTGGGAACACTTTAAGTTTGTGAATTGGTTTGGAGGAAGACTGCTACTTTATTTTGTATTATTTCTTATTTTATGTGTATGAGCATTTTGCCTGTGTGTAGGTAGGAGCACCCATGTTGTGCAATGCTCACAGAGGTCAGAAGAGGGCATTAGATTCCCCTGGAGCTGGAGTTATACACATTGTTAGCTACCACATGGGTGTTGGGAACCAAACTCACATCCTCTGCAAGAGCAGCCAGGATTCTTAACCACTGAGCCATCTCTCCAACCCCTCTGCTACTTTATAAGAGCGGATACTGAAGCAGCCCAAGCAGCTGAATTCAACAGTATGTTGGTATAAAATTCATTCGTGCTGAGATTGTAACCAAGGGTGCGGTATACCTACTTAAGCAACAGTTTAAAGATACTGCGTTTAAAGATCATACTTTTTCCAGTGTATTTTAAAATCGAGCATGGAAAGAACATACTAGAATTTAGAATGATGAACAATTGATATTTCAACCCAGAATAGTTCTATTACAAATAGCTATTTTAAAACGAATTGTATAATCAAATAAACTAAAAATCACTATTAACATCAAAGGCATACACTACAATGGTAGTTTTATTGATTTTAATCAGACATTTTTTCCCCATTGCTAGAAAGCTCACTTCTGAATTTGTATCATGAGCACCTTCTGAATTGTGGCATCAGTGGAACTGCTTGTATTTTCCATACAAGTTGTTTTCTCTCCTCTCTACCTGGGAAGCCAGGGGAAAGAGTGCTTTTAGGATTACTTTTATTGCTACTATTTAAACAAAATTCACTTTCTCAAAATTTTTTAAATATTAGCTTCTACAAAAAAGAAAAAAATAAAATAATGGAGTTCAGATATTTTGAAATTTAAGGAACTATGTCAATTCCATACTAAAGAAAACAATAAAACATTAATAATCTACAACTTGTATAGAATCAAAGATTTTTTTCCTGTTGCAAAAGAACCCATGGAAACTCAATCAGACAAAAACCATCATAGAACAGGGGAAATGGGCAGGAGGCCACAACAATTGAGAGCTGATTACTGCTGGGTGAGGAAGAGTTAATCTTTAAGGGAGTGATGCTAGAGAGGCTGAACAGGCTCCAGGGGATGAACTCACACTGAGGGACATCTGGGGACACAAACTTGACTCAATAGGCCTTAGCATATATGACAAAATGCATGAAGTCCTGTGGGCAGGTTATGGGGGGTGCAGGTAGGGAAGGGAGGCTAAATACGGTTAAGATATATTGTATGAAATCTACAAAAATTCAATAAAATATATTTAAAAACAAATTTAACATAAATAAAAAGCATTAGATCAAATTCCAGGGATCAGAAAGAATTTATGAAAATGTGTTTGGAAAACTCATAAGAAAATTATGAAAGTGTTTAAGAAAATAGCTGCTTCTAAAACAATAAAGACCAGTTCTTTGTCTCTGTTACCCAATTCTTATTGCACTGAGTTTTCTCTGATCATGATCTACAGTGCAGCACAGGTGCACCATAGATATGGCATTTAGCTAGCCTGGTCAGAGTACCTGTTGAGACT